CAGTAAAAGGGTCTCGGGTGCTAATAAAAACACACACTTTAGGGATAGGGGCAGAGTCACACCTTCCTCTTGGGTTAGGAGAACAAGAATAGAATAATAACATAAAGAATTTATTGAGTGGTCTGGTCCGATATGGTATTGTCGTTGGTATTATGGTGCAGCCCTAACCGACCAGGTTACAATTGAAGACTTCTTCAATGCCCCTCGACATTGAAGATTCCAAACTAGATTAGAGCGGGTATGAAAGAGCTAGAGAAAAGACGAGATTGATTTCTCCTAGCTTAGATAGAGTTTCGGTTTACCATCTGTTTTAGCCTTTCTTAGTAGTAGGACTAGAAGTAGAGTAGTAGGGGATCTTACTCAGGCCATGCCACCATCGCTCCACGAGCAGGGAATTCTGTAGCATTAAGACTAGTAGTATGATTACCCCTGTTAATATCGCAAAAGAATCTAAAAAGGCTGGTTCGGCAGGCATGACATTGAAGCAACAACGAGTTTCCAATAACACATTAGTATTAAGCAACTTCTCCCTTGCAGGTCTTAGCCATTGCTTGCTTGCCGTGGAGAGAAGTGATAGGATTACAAGAAGGTCATAATAGACCTTGACAGACTTGAGGTGATTGCCTTTCTACAAAATACTGTATCGGGAAGACATAAAAATTGGCAGATTGAGACCGATAAAAAAACAACCTCATCAACACACAAGCGCGCACACTCAGACACAGAAGGGAAAAGAAAAGGAATGTGGTAATTGAACCTGCAGTATTGGAAAACTGAGAATATAGCAAATATTTCAAGAAATTAAGCAAGATCTACTAAAATTTTATGTTGAAGACTTGGAACAAGCATGAAAAAAAACAAGACAAAGTTAAGGAATTACGTTAACAGTTCCAATGATCTTCCCCAAGTACGACTTAAATCTAATTTTCTTACACTCTAGGGCAAAATTAGAGAGAGATACACTTCTAGGGCAAAGTAGAGAGCGAAGGCAGAGAGTACCTACAATCGGATATCGGGGCACTGAAATCCACTTTTGGCCAGGTAATGCTCCACCAATTCATCAGGTATCTGAAGATAAACAAACGCAGTTATTTACGGAACAAATACAGTAACTGAAACTTATAAAATGAAAAACCTACAGTAGGAGTGTAGTCCATCAAAGAAGAAAGGAATTCTGTAAGAGTGGCGTCATCATCGTGGCGACCATCTTTTGATTGTTGATGGCTACTTTGGCCGTTCATCACTCTCCGCTAACGTGAGCTCTTCGAAATCGGCGGCGAGAAGCGGAGCGTAGGTAGTTTAAGCGCGTGTGGGAGGAATTGGAATACGCAGGCGAACCCGTTGCTTTAAATAGACTAGTAGTCACCCGTGCAATGTACGGGGATATTATTATCTAGAATGTTTGTAAAAAACAATTTTGTATATAAATTGTGTTATCATGATCATAATAGAAGACATATAAACATATCATTAAATTGAAAAAATCGTATATTATTGAACACTTCCCTATATACAACATTATTGGTTTGATTCTTTGGCACGTCATCTTCACCACAAATTAAGATTTTCAAACCTTTTCGATTAGTGACACGGGAAACAGCAACATATAACTGGCCATGACTGAACACTGATTTCTTAAAAAATAAGTCAACATGAGATAAGAATTGTCCCTGGCTCTTGTTTATAGTCATGGCGTAAGAAACAATAATGGGAAACTGTCGCCGCTGGAACTTGAAAGGAATTCTAACATCAGAAGGAGTTATGGCCATTCTTGGAATCAACACCTTATCACCAGCATGATCTCCTGTGAGTATCTTACACTCAAGAATGTGAGTCGATAGCTTTGTCACTACCAATCGTGTCCCATTACACAAACCCATAGAATGATCCACGTTCCGCAACAACATGACTGGAGTTCCAATCTTCAAATACAACTCATGGTTCGGTATTCCGGGAACACTTGATACTATTCAAAAACTCAGGCGTATGGAGCTCAGACAAAAAATCATTATTAGAATCCGATTTGCACGTACTGTCAGAGCTCAAGTACATACGATCATCCAACAAATTCAATGATGTCATGTATTGATTGATAGACTCGACCACATCCAACGTCGGCGCTAATATAGCCCTATCCTTCAAATAACTTGGATCGTCGGGTGCCTCTTTATACATTGGATATGTGCTTTCAACTATCTGAGCAATAAGATCATCAGATGGCTGAAGCAAAATGACCTTGGGTATGTCTATCGGTGCACTTCCATCATTCAACCCTCCGATAGTTCCATCTCCGATGTTGGCTATCCAATCTGCAAACCGTGCAAGCTCATCACGTTCATCCGAATTAGCAAGTCCCTGAAGGCGCATTTTTTCGTAAGCCTAAGCACAGTACAACTCCTCCATATGTCAGAAGAATTAATGGCAGCATTGACTATGTCCTGACGGCTACCCTTTAGAATGACAGGAAGGATTTGTCGAAAATCTCCACAAAAAACAACCGACTTCCCACCAAACGGTTTGTTCAAGTTCAAAGGTTCAATTGCTCTCATAATACCCTGCAACGATGTCTGTACAGCTTCGAAACAATGTTTGTGCATCATTGGTGCTTCATCCCATATTATTAGAGAAGCACGAATTATCAATGGTGGATCCATACATTCCGATATTACTCTCGACTTGATAGTTTCGAAATGCATAGACAACACCTTCTTCGAATTCTTTGATGAAAGTTGGGATGTTGATTGCTTTACTATTCCAGTAATTCGACCTCCCTGAAAAAAAAAAAAAAAAAAAAAGAAAAAAAATATTAGATATTAGATATTATAATTAACATGATGAGAAAAATGGATAATCATTATTTTTTATTATGAATTAAACCTCAATGTCATGAAAGACAATTTCAAGGATGTTCTTGTAGAATGAGTATTGATTAGTCCTTTGAAAAACTCGAACCACCCTCAACTTGAGCATTGGCCTGTTGATCCTTGTTACTTGCTTGATGTTTCCCCATGCTCTTGCCATTTTTCTGTTTGTATGTGAAATTGTAGTGTGAGATTTTTTTTGATACGTGATATAGGCTCCGATGTTTATTTTATAGCCATGGGATGAAAGTAGATAACCATTAGATGATAAGATTAGTTAGACTCACGTTAATCTCTCTTGATAAGATTCATTGCACGTGATTTTAATTTCAGAGTTCCAATAAATTCAAACTCTAATATCATGATAAGATTAGTAAAACGTGATTTATCAGATTGTTAACTCTAGATTTATCCACCGTAGGACTCTGCATTTGTTATGTTTTTTAAATGAATGACATTGAATTCAAATGGAATATATTTCGGTCAATCCAAACACGAATGATTATCACGTTGGTATGGACCGAAATTTTTATGATGATAAGATAAGTGGAAAGTAGTTAAGAAGTGGAGATTTTTGTGTGATAGCATCATTACATAATTACCATCACCATCAACCTTTCCATTAAATTTCGGTCCATACCAACGTGATAAAAAAAAAATTCTTGAAAACTTTTTTACGTCAAACAAATAATATAATTACGTCAAAAATTTTTGTACGTCAAAATTTTAATTCAAACAAATCTTTCCATCTTTTTACGTCAAGATTTGAATAATAATAATTTATATATAACACAAATTAAAATAAATATTATAATCAAATTCATATTTATGAATATAATTCATTATGATAATTTATTAAAAAATCACGCAATATAATTCATTAAATGTACTTGATTTAGTTATTGTTAATTCCGTAAATTTTTTTGTTCAAATAAAAAATACACCAATTTTGAATTCAAATGGAATTCAAAGAGTGATACTTGATCAATAAAAACCTAAAACAATTTTGAAATCAAGTTGTAATTTTCAACCTTATCATGTATGATGATAAGATAAGTGCAAAGTAGTTAAGAAGTGGAGATTTTTGTGTGATAGCATCGTTACATAATTAACATCTTTCCATTAAATTTCGGTCCATACCAATGTGATACAAAAAAAAATTTTGAAAAATTTTTTACGTCAAACAAATATTATAATATTTTGCGTCAAAATTTTACGTCAAACAAATATTTCCATCTTTTTACGTAAAAATTTTAATAATAATAATTTATATATAACACAAATTAATATAAATATTATAATCAAAATTCATATTCATATTTATGAATATAATTCATTATAATAAATTATTGAAAAATCACGCAATATAATCTATTAAATGTACTTAATTCAGTTATTGTTAATTCTGTAATTTTTTTTTTTTATATAATCTTATAATCGAAATATTTGTTAAAATTTGTATTAATTTATATCTTGTATCATGGAATTCTACCAATTTTAAACTAATATACAATAGAACTCAAAAATAAAATGTTCAAATTTTCACATTCATGCGACATTTAATAAAAAAAAAGAATATCCAACGACATTTTATAACGATAACAAATATAATAACACTAAAATTTATTATAAAATTCGGAATTCAATGACATGGAATGAAATTAAAATTCATAATAACCAAACTCTAAATATCATAAATATCTCCTGCTCCTTGCTAATGTTGAGGGAAAATATCAACATTTTGAGGGAAAATCCCACCATATTTGATAACATGAGTTCTTCCATAAATTTATAAACATGAATTAAAATATTTTATAAAATTACATAAATTTGATATTACAAATATAAATATTTACCTGTTCATCATGAAACAGTATATGGAATGCGTTCCAGCTCTCCCGTTGGTGATGCGTTTCAACTATTAGGACTGCTTTCAAGTGCAAAAAAGGCTTGTTTCTCCTAATCACGGAATCGAGTGTATCCCAGACTGGCGGCATTTATTATCAATGTGTTCTGAAATTTATCTTTTTTTTTTTTCTCTGTAAAATTTATCTCGGTTTTTTTTTTTCTGTGAATTGTGAATGACGTGAACTTTTTTTTTTCTAAACTGTGAATGACGTGAATTGTTGAGTAGTGGTAGTGCATATGATTTTATACCAAACAACCGTTTTTGAACTAAAGATTCGCATAATTATGTAATAATAATTATGGATCCAATTGTGACTTATCATTTGATATTACAAATAAAAATATTTACCTGTTCATCATGAAACAGTATATGGAATGCGTTCCAGCTCTCCCGTTGGTGATGCGTTTCAACTATTTGGACTGCTTTCAAGTGCAAAAAAAGCTTGTTTCTCCTACTCACGGAATCGAGTGTATCCCAGACTGGCGGCATTTATTATCAATGTGTTCTGAAATTTATCTCTTTTTTTTCTCTGTACAATTTATCTCGGTTTTTTTTTCTATGCTGTGAATGACGTGAATTTTTTTTTTTTTTCTAAACTGTGAATGACGTGAATTGTTGAATAGTGGTAGTGCATATGATTTTATACCAAACAACCATTTTTGAACTAAAGATTCGCGTAATTATGTAATAATAACTATGGATCCAATTGTGACTTATCCACATATCCCTATAATATCTCTAATCAATTAATTTTTGAATTAATCATGTAATGATAATTATGGATCCAATTGTGACTTATCCACAATCCCAATAATATCTCGAATAATAGTTATGGATCCAATTGTGACTTACCACATATCCCTATAATATCTTTAATCAATTAATTTTTGAATTAATCATGTAATGATAATTATGAATCCAATTGTGACTTATCCACAATCCCAATAATATCTCTAATAAACAAATTTTTGAATTGAAGTATGACTTTTTTAAAATTTCGTGCATTATAATTGCAGTAAATATGGTTTCTATATTTAGATTGTCAAATTTTTTTTTTTGGTCAAAAGTTTCTAAAAAGGTATTTTAACAACAACCTTTTTATATATATATAGATTTGGCCGTGTTTGCTAATTAGCGGTTAAATTATAGCTGTTAGCTGATTGCATTAGCTGTTTTGACCAACAGATTGTGTTAGGTGTTTTGACCAGATGATTGTGTTAGCGCTTTGTAAAAGAGTGTTTGGTAAAATTAACTATTTCTAATTAACTGTTAACATGTAAAATTACTTATAAGGACATCAACATAATTTATCATTTCTATGTTGAACTTATAATTCTATAGGAAATAAAGATAATTAATATTTAAATATTTATTAAAGTGATTTAAAATATAATAAAATATAAATAATAATAATAATAATAATATTTCTTAACTGAGTAAATAATTTCACCTCATATAAACAAACTTAATA